AGCCGGCTTCCCGGGCAATCAGGAACCCAGGCAGCATGTCATTACATGGAAGCCGGTTCCATGCCAGCAGAAGCACTGGTATCAGTACTCGGTATCGGCGAGTGCCAAAAGAAACATATAGGTACTTGTACTCGATACCGCAAAATCGGTTTTGGTGCATCCCTAGTGGAAACAATGCTGCACTGCCCCTAAATTCAGAGCAGAGTTGCCACTCGCATGTGGGCTGTTCCTGCTTGTACTATAGTGGGATAAAAATGTTACATGAAACATGGCTATCTGCAATGTCACTGCTGATTCACAAGCCTGTAGTATGTCAGCCTGTAGCTATATGCTATAAGCTGGGCGTGAATACTTTTTAACAGCCCCTAAGTGTTCCTTCCTCCAGCCAGGGCCGGTGCTAGGTTTCCTGCCTACACAGGCAAGGTTGATTTTTGCGCCCAAGTTTGACAAGTACAAGTACTTGTCAAAATGCCCTGTTTTTTCCGCCCTCACCCTGCAGCGCTGTAAGGCGGCCGCCTGACTTGCCTTGCGGTAGCGCCGGGCCTGCCTCCAGCTTTTACACGTGAAGCCGGGGGAATGCTTTATAAATCAGCCCCATGGAGGTTTACCCTTTTCAGCCAAGTACTTCTTTTCCTATTACATAAAGCACACTGCATAGCTAGGAAGCTAACACCCCTAATTCCTAAAGTATCTGTACAGTACATTTAGCTGAAGTTATTCCCCAACACACTGAACAGGAAATATGTAAGACATGCAGCAAACTATTTTTATATATAGATTTATAGGAATTAATTACATGAGGATAAACAACACTTACATCTGTGAGATCTTCTGAGTACAGGACCAAATGCTACAATGTGTGCAGTGCCATGTTCTGTTTTAGAAAGAGATTGCATCTATTGCCAGTTCATCAAGTAATAACAGTGTTCTGTGTGTTCACGCAGCAGAAAATACCCAGGAGCTAGGGTGCCAAAATGTAGAGCTTAACATTAGATTGTCAGAGTTGGAGAGCGGCTCAATTCTAGCTATTTTGGTGTTCCGTTGCCTCATGCCCACATACAGTTGCCAGGTTTCTGAATCACCATGATCTTCAGCTTTCGACAAACCAAGATAGACTTTTCTATGTTAACTGTGAAATGGCAATCTGCAAATGTACATTTTTGAGGGACATTTATCAAACAAATGAACAAAGACGATGGATCAGACTTTTATCTCTCTCATTTAGCAAAATCTATGCGTTTGTTTTGGATGTACATTGAAGACTCTTACTCCAAATACTGGGCGCTAACATACACTTACAGTAGTTGCAAAGGTCTGAGACAGATTTACTACTGTAGATGAGAAAGATTTTTATTTTTTTTATTCGAAGCACAATCATAGAAGAAGAGGTCAGGGACAGGTTTTATGTTGTTGCAGTGGTACTTCAAGGCAGCAAGGAGAATTTATTAATCTAGCTGCAATGATATAGTAAATCTGCTTTATAATCATGGCTTGGAAAACAGATATAGAACACAACATCACACTGCTCTTTAGAGGCATAGTCAACCTTTTTCAGAAATGTAATAAGTAACATAATAAATGTGCATTTATTCAATTTTTGAATTGAAGCCTGCAGAGCATGGCAACCACTATCATTGCATCACAGGAGCAATCCACAGGTTCCTGCAAGTTCTTCCCTCAGCCTCAGTAGGGGGCTGAGTACCTCCATATGGACTAGTGTGCAGGGGCTTGGTGCGAACCCAGTTGACTGGAGTTTGTTTAAGCCTGCACAAAATTGTGACTAGCACACTCTGCTTCTGGCCAAATAATTTGTGGTAGGGGCAATCTCTACCGCTTTGTGATGTGTAGCTTCTGGACAGGGAATTCCCTGGCCACAACTGATTGAGGGAGTGGGAGGGTAAGAATTTTGCATGGGCTTGCACGAGCTCTGGTCAGCTGGGTTCACACCAAGCCGCTGCACATCACTGGTACGGACCTACTGTTACAGGGCTGGAGGAAGTATCACACTGGACTACAAGTGTGGTGACATCCGAGATCTATGAGTGCCTCTCCCATGTTGGCAGATAGTACTTGGAGTCCTTCCATTCACGGATCCTGTGAGTGGATCTGTGAATTGATGGGAAGAGCCACACACAGTTGGGCTAAATAATAACAAAACAAAAAAACCAGGACCCTCCAAAATTCTGGAAAGTGGTGGTGGATGGGATTGGGTCTGGGGAATGAGACCATGTTTCATGGTACACCCTAAACATGGGTGTAACATGAATGTAATCCCTAAGGTGGACTATGCTTTCAAGATAAACAGAAACTAAGCCCCAGCGGTTTTAGGGGATACAAATAAAATAAAATGCCATTAGATCCATGTTTACTAGCTCATTTATAAAGTTCTAGGTTTTGTATTAAAGAACCCATATAAAACCCTACTCAATCTCAAACCAGAGGGATGCAACAATAATCAGTTTACACTTTTAACCTTCCCTACAGCTAAGCAGGTCTTAGCCAAGGCCTGTAAATAGACCATACCTCACAAAGCACAGGTCCAGCAAAAAATGTCTTGGTACCTAATTAATGAAAACTCTCAGCCATTCTACACTAATCAATGAAAATATTTAAGATGGATTGGTCTCCATGGATGGAGCTTTATATACCGAGCCAGGTTTTTTTTACGTTCTTTATTTATGCCAAAAAAAAGAGGTGGTACATGGACAGAGGAAACACGTGTGGATTTAAGCACTGGAGTACCAGCCTGTATGCTGTGATAGGTTGACTGACAATTACTCGGTCATGCAACACCGTATCCAAATTAATTTTAAATAATTTTTTTGTGTCAGCTAGAGTTTTTTGGGTGGAATTTAATAACCACTGTTTTAAAATATTTTTCACTATATAAAGGAAAAACCCCTGAAGTTCTGACGTCCTATAGCATTTTTTTAAGGTCCCAAGATGACCCTAAAATTGTTTAATTTAGGGCAGAGCGTATACCGTTCAGCAGTCAAAGTCAGGCTTATCTAATGCACAGAACAGATTACATATTTCAGTTGTCACGAGTTAGAGCCTCCTTATGGTGGTGGTAGATGGTGAGTGTCTCTTTTTAGATGTTGGTGTTCAGTGGTGTGTGCCCCTTAAATGTTAGTGATCAGTAGTGAGTGCCCCATAATTTTTTGTGGTCCGTGGTGTTTTTCCCTATAACATCGGTGGTCAGTGTATCCCCTTTATGGTTAATATGCCACCTTGCTGCTCTGTGTACTCCCTTGCTATTCAGTGTGCCATACTTGTCAATAGTGTGCCCCAGTTTTGTTGTTGTTCAGTGTTACTTGCAGTGAAGGACTTGAGGAGAAGATCAATGGCAGAAGAGGAAGGGGAGGGACTGTTGAAATTTTTTTCATTTACATTTGTTATTGCTGTAATTCGGCATTACATTGATCATAAGGTACAGGACCACTCTGACTAACTTTGTGTATTTTGCATGTGATCTGCGTTGTCTAATAACAGCATGATTACTGCGTTGTGTGCATGCCTGGCACATGCACAGGTAGTAAGCAGAGCACGGTTTTTAAATGGCGCTCCAGAAATACAACCGCCAAAAAAGTTGTGTAAAATCTACATAAAAGCACAATGCAATGATTTGCAAATCTCATAAACCCACATTTTATTCACAATAGAAAATAGAAAACATATCAAATGTTTAACCACTTGCTGTCCGGAGCAATTTCTTACATTTGCACACACATGATAAAATCTGAATTTTTGGCTGGAAAACCGCTTTGGACCTCCAAACAATGATACATTTACTGAAAGTCCCTGTAGAGACCCTGTAGATTAAGAAGATGCTAGTTGCAATTTGCAATGTTGCAAGGTATTTGCGCAAATGTTTATCCAACCAGTATTTTTAGGATAAAATACACTAAAATTAAATTTAGTGCACAGAAACAGAATATAATACTCAATTTTTTGATAAAATATAAAAGACGGGGTCACGCCAGGTAAATAGATACCAAACATGTCAAGCCTTTAAATTGCGTGCGTCAGTGAAACAGCAAAAAACTACAATAACCAAAATTTCCCATAGGGGACACTTTAAACGCTTTCACGGCTCATCACTTTAGTGTTAACAGTGATTGATGAGCCTAGAATAATTGCTCTCACTGCGATGTTTGCGACTATATGTAACGTGTGGCGCAATTTTGGTTTTTGCACGTAGGCGCATTTTTTATTTTTTCATATGTTACTTTAATTTTTAAAATTTTGTTTTTTGGCGGGTACAATAGCCAGCCTGCTATTGGCTTTGGAAATTGGTATAGCCAATAGCAGCCTGGCTATTGCTCCCCATTGTTTACATTCTGTTGCTGACCGTGGAATCTATTATGTCCTCGATTTTGTAGCACTTTATTATATATTACTGTGTAATAGTTTTTTCACATTGCATTGGTGACCATAAACATTAAAGGGTATCTATGGTCAAAACTAAATTTAAAATATGTATTCCTATATTGGTTTTCCATAAGTTGTGTCCCACTCCTAATAACCATATTTATCTAGAAGTTTGTAAACTTACTTATTGAAGATGCCCATAGGATGTACTTCCTCAATGCACTGATACAATTTCACTCCACCCTGTGAATATGCACTTTTTTGTTTAACAACTCTCACAAAGCCTGTCTTCAGAACTACTATTTCACGTCTGAACAATGTAACACTATCATTGCTTGCTGGAAGTAATGCATGATGGGATATATAGTCTTGAGAAATGGAGATTACATCACATCAAGCAGCAGGAAAAGAGATACAAAGCACACTGGCAATCCAGGAAGTTGATGAAAGTGATGGGGAGACAGAAGGCAGCACCCATTACATAAAAGGGATTTTTTTAAAGTATAATTTGATTACATTATGAAAAACAACTCTAGTATGTATTGCTATCACAATGCTGATGTTATAACAGGATAGTATATGCTGGGACTTTCCAACTCCTTTAACATACACTCTGTCTTCTTATGTAGTGGCAATCGCTCTTCGAAGACCTTCAAACCAAAGAAGAGTATTCCTGAAGGATCCCACCAGTACGAGCTGCTGAAACATGCAGAAGCCACTCTGGGCAGTGGAAACCTCCGAATGGCTGTCATGTTACCGGATGGGGAGGACCTCAATGAATGGGTGGCTGTGAATAGTAAGAACTGATATATTTTACAATACAAATCAGATTCTTTTAAAAAGTGTTTTGCTATAGCAAATGTCTATCAAGTTTACTTGCTTTGTAAGATGGCATGGAAATAGCTATATTAGCCCCTTCCTGACCAGACTGTTTTGGCCATGTTGTATGTCAAGGGCCTTAAATGACAAACATGTCATGCGTTACAATTGCTCCCGTGCAATGGCGAAAAGTTATAGTACTCCAAATTGTCAATAGGCGACACTTTTAAAGCCTTTAATGATCATCAGTTTAGAGTTAACAGTGAATTATGGCCCTAGAATTATTGCTCTCACTTTGATGTTCACAGCGGTGCCTAACATGTATGATGCATTCCCTACATGCGCATTTTCATTCGCATGCAGAGGCGGCAGGGTTTTAATTTTTGTAATTATCTTTTTTACCTTTTTTTAGGCACTTTTTATTTTTATTTTACTTGACTTTATTGCTATCACACATTGGCTAGCAAGCCCCTATGTGATAGCATTTGCAGTTGACAGGTCCTCTTTCATACCCCAGATGTCTCCACTGGCCTCCAATACAGGGGATCGAGCACAGTATTGTGCCAGATCCCCTGTGTAACCAGTATTTCAACTGGCCTCTGATAGCTGTGCCAAGCACAGTGAGCGCAGCGGTTCCTGAGACACTGCTCACAGAGCAGAGCGGGGAATGGACATTGCTCTGCTCTGCTCCTGCTCTCCATCCTGTACAGCCACCCAAATCACGTATAGAAAAAGAAAATCGCCAGCTGTGGCAGCCATGATCTTGGACCAGCTATGTAAAGCGGTCCTGAAGTGATTAAACACAGGCCTGGAAAGCTGCCAATCAGTGATTTGGGAGCGATCATATGACGCTCCTGAATCATTATCGGCTGTTACTAATTTGTCTCCGATGTAAGGCAGCTAGTAACAGGTGATAATTCCTCCCGCTGCTTATGTTTGTTCATGACGGTCCGGGACTGCATGAAAAAGTATGAATAGACTTTTAAAGCTCATCTCCAGTCAAACTATGTAATGCAAAGGGGAATATTTATTTATTACAGGTATTTATATAGCGCCGACAATTTACGCAGCGCTTTACATAGTTGCACATTCACATCAGTCCCTACCATCAAGGAGCTTACAATCTAAGGTCCCCATCTCACATAGATACACGGCCAATTTAGACAGGAGCCAATTAACCTACCAGCATGTCTTTGGAGTGTGGGAGGAAACGGGAGTACCTGAAGGAAACCCGCACAGGGAGAACTTGCAAACTCCTTGCAGATAGTGATCTGGCCAGGATTCGAACCAGGGACCCCCAGTGCTGCAAGGCAGAAGCGCTAACCACTATGCCACTGTGCTGCCCAGTACTGTGTTGGTACTCGCCCAAATGCTCTGGATGTCTATCCCCATACCGGAACTTCCGGTATCAGGAAGTTGGCTCCATGCTTCCTCGTCACCTGGCTAATCAGGAAGCTGGGCGGTGAGTCATTACACGCCGCCCAGCTTCCTTAGGGCTTCTTCACACCAATTGCGGTGCGTTCCAGAGAGGTAGCTGCTGGAAAGCACAGCAATCACACACTAAACTTCCTACTTCGTTATAGGGCGGGAGGGGGAGTGGCGGTGCATTGAAGTAAATGGCACCTCAGCCACGACCCTCCCCCCACCCGCAGTGCGATCGGACACGTGGCAAACATTGCCTGTGTTTCCGTCCACTGTGAATGCAAAAAATAGAGCATGCAGCATTTTTTTTGCATTCACAGTGGACCGAAACGCAGGCAATGTTTTGCCATTCGTAAGATTGCACTGCTGGGGGGGGCGTGGCAGCGGTGCCATTGACGTCAATGCACCCCCTCCCGCCCCAGAACGAAGGGGGAAGTTTAGTGTGAGATTGCTGTGTGTTCCAGCAGCAACCGATCTGGAACGCACCGCAGTTGGTGTGAACAAGCCCTAAATGATACTTCCAGTATCGGTATTCGCTATCCGCGAGTACTGAAAAAAAATATTTGTACTCGATACCGAAAAAGCAGTATCAGTGCATCCCTACAAAGAATACAAAGCCGGCCATTATCTAGAATTTTTTTTTGTCATTACTAAACATTTCTAAAGGTGTGGGGGTTTTTTTATCACAGAATTTCTGCCTCATAATTTCCCATCTGCACACATTTAGGCATCTAATAGTCTGTTGTTGTCACTTTCAGCTGTGGACTTTTTCAACCAGATCAATATGTTATATGGAACCATTACAGATTTCTGCACAGAGGAGAGTTGTCCAGTAATGTCTGCTGGGCCAAAGTAAGATGATTTTTTATGTGTCTTGCCTGTTTATGTCCACATTATTTGTATGCATCTTTACATCATTACATCTCATGGCTTCATATGCCTAAATATGCTTTATCTGAAAATCAGCCACAGAATCATTACATGAATATTTAATTCAGCTATACCGCCAAACTGGTTACATTTTTTATTTATTTTGTGTTTTTAGTATAATATTTGTTATTAACTATTTGCAGACTTTGGGCATGCTGCATTCAAGTACCCTAACTATTAACAAAAATGTATCTTATTCATGTATCACTCAGCTGTAGATCCTCAAATCATCTGTGAATTGATGCTGACACTGTCCTTCCTTCTGGAGGGTGGCTACTTTTGTTCCCCATGGTGCCCTGCATGTGTTGTAAAGTAGTCACCGCTCCAAGCTTGCTCCTGTGATTTACTACAGTCTTAGTACAAATTAGTAAACTAAACGTGAGATTGTAGTCCATCACGGGAGGGAGCTTGTAGCAGTGACTACTTTACAACGCACACAGGGACCATGGGGAACAAAAGTAGCCACCCTCCAGAAAGAAGGACAGTGTTGGCATCAATTCAGAGATCATTTGATGATTTACAGCCGAAAGATACACAAATAATATACATTTTTGTAAATAGTTAAGGTACTTGAATGCATTTTTAAGGTTTAACTCCTGAGTTTAGTGTCACTTTAATTCAGCTATACTACCATACTTGTTATATTTTTTATTAATTTTGTGTTTTTAGCATAATATTTCTTATTAACCATTTGCTTACTTTGGGCATGTGGCATATACCCCAAAACTTAATAGACCTTCACAGGGCATATGTCATACTCCCCTTCCCTCTTCCCCTGCTGCCATTACCCTGCCACTCTTGTTGGCGAATCCCTGCTGGCAAAACGACAGCCAGGATTGGTTCTGTATTACAGCCGTGGCTGCAACCTCTGCTGTGTAATAGGAAGTTTCCTACCAGTGTTTGGAATACTGTTCAGGAAAAAAAACTAACTAATAAATACAATGTAACAACATTATTGTTAAAATGTATGCACCCTGTTTTATTCATAAGCAAATCTGTGATACCTCTTTTGTCACTATCTCTTTATTCGTGTGTTGAATGCTGATTTGACACACACCCCCACCCCCCAAATCAAGGAACTATAAGGAAAATCGATTCCATTTTGTATGGGGTGCTAATGGCCATAGCTGAGAACATTTGTAAATTAGCACCACATCCAGTAATGATCTATATATTTGTCTGGTGAAAAACATGATGGTCCTGATAAGATCTGTGACTATACACTATGTACACTCTATTAGCAATAGGCCCCACAAATTGGCCATGATGTAAAGTGAATTAGGCTATTATTACTTAGATTTCTACTCTCTAATGGTATTATTGCACGAAACCACCAGGGTTCTTGCAGCAGAATGTAACTGAAAAGAAACAGGATACAAAATAGATGGTCTTGTTTAGTCTCTGTCTTTGTAACATCCTGTGACATTTCGAGAAAATCACAATGGACACCAAAAAGCCAAATAGTACAGTGGAATACTTCTGCTTTTACATTATACATCTGTTTTATTCAAGGTGCATATTTATCTACAGGCCAGCAGCTTTCAGTTTCACTGAAGATAATTTTGAAATTACAAGGACCAAGAGCATCCTTTTGCTCAGAAATCGTGCAGCTGCACTGTACCATGTGCCTGTGCTGTATACTACATATTAGACATTGGAGGGCACAGAGACACACCTAGGAACTACATGCTGGGCCCCAAGATGCAGTTACTTAACCTGGCCATACACTAGTAGATTCCCGAACGAACTTTGGTACGAAAGACCTTTCTTTACCACCCAATAATGCCATCAGACATGTGAGGTATGTCAATTGAAATTTCGTTTGATTTTGGAATGAATGGAGTTTCCTGAACGAAAACCGCATTCATCGTTGGAATTTCGTTTTTTCGGCACAACAGTCAAAATGGATTGTCGATTTTACCCATCAACAAATAGAAAGTCAAAGAAAGTTCTTTCGTATGAAAGTTTTTTCGAAAATCTAAGCAGCATATGGCCAGCTTTAGTTTAGTTGTGAAGTGAATGGACAAGTTCGAGCCCTCGGTTCCTTACAAATCCAAGGGTTTCTTCTCATGCAAGCATCCGCATAGCGTATTTCAATTATTTATATGCAATAAAAGTTTATTGAAAGAGTTTTTGGCAAACAGCCATAGATAAACAATGACCATCATACAGCTTATAAGTAGACCCATCAGTTTTCATCAGAGGTTCCAGGAACCGCAGTCAAGCTGAACATATATAACTTATCATTCAGGTTACATATAATGTTCACAACATGCAGCCCAGACAGGGACTAAAGGTCCGGTGACCATCAGCCATAAAGGAAGCAGAAGGGAAAACAATGACAAGAAGTAAAAAAGGAGAAAAGAAGAGAGAAAGTAAGACATATAGTAGAGCAAGAGAGGTTAAGGTGAGAGGGGCACGATTGCAGGGGGCACACGGCGAACCCAACATTATGACCGAGGGGCACTAGCAACTGCAAGATCAACATCTAAAGATATATAGCAAAGGTCCCAACACGTTTCGAATTTCACCACAGTAGTAGAGAAGTCAACCAGCGTCACCTCATTTCAGTTGGAAAGATTCTCGAAAGCCAAGGTTTCCATATTGTATACAGTGTGGAAAATAATTATTTGATCCCCTGTAGATTCTGTCTTATTTTACTCACTGAACTGCAACAGTTTTTTCTGGATTTTTGGTTGATATTCTGTCTCTATAACTTAAAATACACCTATGATAAAAATTATACACCTTTCATTTCTTTGTAAGTGGGCAAACTTACAAAATCTACAGGGGATCAAATAATTATTTTCTTTACTGTATAAGATCTAAAGGTCCCAAGTGGTACTACACTGTTCCTGTGTATCATGTAGATTACCAATTAGATTCTCCATTCTCGGTGTCGAAATGTTTTAACTAGTTTGCATATGGATGTGAACATTTGCTTGTCTGCTTTCATCACCAAGGTAACTGTGCCCTAAGAATATTAAGACTGTAGATAGGCATATATAATGCTAAGAATGATGTGCAGTAAAATGTCTGCCTATCCTAAAACTAGTCACTACACCACCAGCACCCACTGTTATCTAGTCTATGACTTGACTGCCAGGTAAATGGGACACAGAAAAGGCAACCACATCTGTGCCACATTTACTCATCAATCAAGATTGAATAAAAGTGGCAGTGCTGTTACCAGTTTGAAGATGGGCAAATATTTTATTGTACACCATTCTTAATTTGGAGTAAGTAAAAGAAAAAACTATTTATAGTAATGAAGACTTCTGATTGTTGGAAATGCTTCATATGCTCTAGGGAAAACCTACATAACCAGTTCCTTGTTTGGCCATCACAGTTATTGCTGGGATTGGGCCATGTATTATCACCATCCTCTTAATCTGTCCATATTCAAACAAATTCTATAGTTGTTTAATTTTCAAAATATACAACTATTCTGTTGCATCAGAAGCATAAACACAATGGGGTTGATTTCCTAAAGGCAAATAGGGTGGTCGATTGGCAAGGGGATTTTTCCTTTGCTTAGTGAATGAGGTGAAGCTCTACTGAGTTCTATCACCCAACCATGTGCAAGCCAAATATAGTTTTTTTTAATTTTTCTTGCACATGATTGGGTATTCTTTGTAAAGTGAATTTTCACCACATTCACTAAGCTAAGGCAAAATTCTATTGCAGAGTGAAAAGCTTTTGCCTTTAGTAAATCAACCCCAAGGTCTTTAAACTGCAAAACATACCTTGTAGCCAGCCCTAACTGTTTGTATTTTTAGAATATGGAAAGGGAACATGTTGTAATTATCACTCAGTAATCAAACAATCTCTTTAGACTCTAACAGAACATAAATTATCCTTTCAGTTCAGCCCATTGTGGTCTATATATAGTTATGTATAAAAAAAACAGTTGCCTGACTGAGTGGATTGGTGACATATCAAAGTCTTTGTTTACTCTGCCAGTAATAGCATAAATATTCTGGTATCATGTCATGAAATCTATTGACATGTGCTGATTGTTTCTACATATTTCCGCATACACACTTTCACATCAATGGGATGATCATAACTATCATTTCTGGTGGGTTATGGAAATGTAAAACACCAAAGATCACCTTCACGTTAAACCTACAAACTTGGTTTTAGTTTTTTGTTTTTTTAAAATCTTCTTTCTTTTGGGATACATGTTCATCTCCGACCTTAATAGAAATGCCTTTTTGCCACTACTATTTCCATCCAAGGGTGAAAACAATGGATGTCAGGAAGGGGGAGGGGGGTG